GGGTATCGTTGCTGTAGTCTATTGTACATACATTTCATTAAGCACAGGGCATATAATATACTTTCTTGATGCTAGCAGGGAGAGAAGGAAGGGGTGTAAAGCCAACTCTATCTAGGTGCCTCGACCGCGCTTCGTGATTTGATTATCCGACATGCTTTGCGTGATCCGCACTTTCTTGGGCTGCGTTGATGATCGGTTATCCCGGCTAGTCGCGGGATGGGCCTGCCCCTGCGTCTTATCTCGCTCTTTCGCAATGTTGCTGTTCGACCGCAGCGCGGAGATATGCGTCGCAAGCTGGCTGCTGTGCCCGTGGCTGTTATCGAGCAGGATTCGCACGGAGAGAGACCCCGGGTCGAGGATAGGCAGCATGTTGCTGACTCCGTTCCGGTTACCGGGCATTTTGCCTGCGGTCCCGGCGGGCGTTGATCCGTTGTATGGCGCTCGAGGGATCCCTCGGACGGGTTCGACCATGGTGAAATCTCGGGTGACTTCGCGCCGAATCTCGTTGTCGTCTTGGGCGATTCCGCCGTCCAGGGGGACCTATGCTTTTGCGTGAGCGTTTATGAACCTTTGAAGATGTCCCTTGATTGGTTTGTTCCAGTCAACGGCGGACTATACTCACCCCGGTGGTGACCTTCCTTCCTGGCATGTGCACATAATCATCAAATGAGCTCTCCAGGGTAGCAAAGTTGAATCCTTTATTGGGTGTGAGGGGCTCAAAGCGCTGCCCGACTTCGACTCGAAAGTCTACCGACCGTCGAGGGGCCGGTTTGTACGCTGGGAGATCCAGCCACCATGTCGGGTAGTTGAAGTAGCTGCATTGGAGGACGGGCTCGATATCCAGAACCAGTTGGATTCGGCTGTCGGCACGCGGTTTCTGGATTAACATGGCGAACGTGAACTCCCGTGGCAGACCAGATCGCTGCAGATTGTTCTCCTCCAGTGACCAGACAATCTCCCCCGCCTCGACGTCGAACTTCCGCCCGCGTGGGCTCTTCAATGACCGGACCGAGCCCTGGATTCTCATCATCTCGTACCGTCGGTACCGTCCGTTCATGCCGCCGGAGGGTGAGATGCTGGCCATAAGGGGTAGCTCAGCTACACCGAGCGACCCGGCGAGGCTGTAGTTCCATTGAAGTGTCTCGGGTGAAACAGCCCCGTACAGGAGGTGCGGGGCGTGCTTGAGAAACCGTGGATTTCTCGACCGGTACGCATGGAGGTTTTGTGACGCAGTGGGGGTCTTGGAGTTTTCTCGCATGCTGTGCAGCGAGGCTCGGATGGTCGCTGCCTTGAAACGATGCGTAAGGGTGTTGGGGGAGTGGAAAACGAAGTTGATCCCCAGGAAGTCCACATGGTCGAGGTCTTGATCAGAGACGGCTGTGCTCGAGTAGAACCCGTGTTGCAGGCGCTGCACGTGAGCCGTCACGTAGGCATCCCCCGGTAAGTGACGTTCGTAGATACATGCTCTGTTAACCATAAGACGGGGATTGGCCAGATTTGGATCTGTAGAGGGCTCCGCTGATGAGTGCTCGGGTGCACTGGGCCGTCTTGATGCCGGAGGCGATGGAGTTCCTGGTGGTGCTGGAGCCGCTGGACGGTCTATAGTGACCATGGCCAAGTTCGGGTTCCTCATCAGGAACGGGTCCGGATCCTCACCGTCATCCCATATCCCCATGTCGAAGTAATGGTGCCCTATTACTATCCATAGAGTAACACACTATAGCGAACGGTTGTAGCACTCCAGCGGAGTGTCTTAAAAGTTCGGGGTAAAGGCATTCTATACATGTCGCCTCATGTTGTGGGGTCACTTAGTATGACGACAGCAGTGTGGACAGCTGCTCTTCTTCCTATCAGGTGAGAAGAACTGATGGGAGCAGTCAAGTCAGATGAGACCTGCGGGAATTTATATAGCAGCATGCCAAGAACAGGTCGATCTGCTGTATCAGCGCAGATGGACTCTATCGCCTGTAATGAGTCAGCTGGAAGTCTCGTAACGTTGCTTGATCAAGTACCCATTACACCGACTGTCAGCCTTACGACTCGATCATGATCGGTGTCATGGTCACTGTCATTTATGCCACCGACTTGGTCGTACTGCTGACCCATCCCATCACATGACACTCACCGGATCAACTGTTGTTCCGCGGACGTTTTCCTCAAATCACGAGCCTCGATTTGTATAGCTTCCATTGCGCTTTTTGATTTTCAACCCGATATATATCTCTGTGGCAGCTCCCCAGCCAATTGCATTCAAGTCTGGGTTGAATGGCAATTGCCTGGATTCTTTACTAGTTGCGCTCCTGCTAACCTTGAGATTTCCCTCGGGTTGGAGTCGCGGAACTCGGTCGTCGAGCTGCCACTACTTCTAGATCACCCCATCGGATAACTTGAATTGTTGTCGGTCACTGGTTACTTCGTCTTTCGGGTTTTGACAACTTCTTTATTTTCGTATTAATTTCCGCGGAAGAAATTTGGATTGGACTTGACAGTATTGTTTTTCACTGGTATATGAATTTGGCCGCGGAGCACTGACCTTCGATATCGGTCCATGGATTGACTGGTTTGGCCTCCTGGTAACATATCGAAGCTGTATACTATTGGTTATGCTTGAGAAGAAGCAACATTATCTAAGCGAACGTTCTTTTTTGAAGTTGGAAACTGCACAGGTCTCCTCCAGTTGCATACTGCAGTTCACTCATTGATCTGATTGGCTTTATAATCTACTCAATTTCTCCGAATATCGAGCTTTCACCATGGCAGCAAGATCTATTGTGCTGGCGCCTCTTCGCGCATCTCGACAATGTCCTCGCTTGTCCAAGGGCACTGCACCTCCATTCCTCGGAAACGGTGCTGCCGTGCGGGAAAGGTGGTCGGGTCTTCAAGCGGAGTTTCGCGGCTCTTCAATCTTCACATTAGCTGGTCCATCGAACTCATTGCGAAGCAAGTATGGGTTTTGTTCGCGTTAACCCTGTTTGAAGGGGATATTGGTCTGACGGACTTATAGATCCCTGAACAACAACGGCAACGCGACTCTGCGCCTGACGTCTCATTGGCACCAAAATTTGGGCCTTCAAAGGAGATGGCATGCCACCGAGAAGCCCTCCGATCAGACTGACGCTCAAAAGTAAGTGTCCTAGATGTCCCATGTTGTGTTTACTTCGCATTTTCATCGAAGTCCTGCTTTATGCGCAATACATTTATGACCTCATGTGAACTAAGTGGTATAAGATCTCAAACTGGTTCAAAAAAGTCTCCAATTCTGTCTCGTATTCCCCTACCTTCCAGCCACGAGAATATCTACACAGTTCCCAATATACTCACCATGACCCGCTTGGTTGCCGCCCCTCTGGTAGGGTATTTCCTTGTCCATGATTATCACCAGGCCGCGTTGGCCCTATTCGCTTATGCTGGAATTACCGACCTCGTTGATGGCTACATCGCACGGCGATATAACCTCCAAACGGTTGTTGGGACGATCATTGATCCCATGGCTGATAAGCTACTGATGACCATTGGGGTCGCTTGCTTAGCAGTCAACGGCTCCATCCCAGGTAAGCGGTCTCCTAACAAGTTTGTGAGGTAAATACCGGCATGTACAGCGATGTTAACTTGCTCAAATAGTGTGGCTCGCCGTCATCATCCTCGGCCGTGATGTCGGCCTTGCTATATCCGCGATTTACTATCGTTGGATCTCTCTTCCGCCGCCCAAAACCATGGCACGGTATTGGGATTTTTCTCTACCTTCCGCGGAGGTCAAGCCTACGACGATCTCTAAGGTCAACACCGCCCTGCAGCTGCTACTTGTGGGGAGTGCCATTGCACTGCCTGTCGTCCCGGAAGCAATCATCGACGCATGGAATTTGAAAGAAGCAATGACTGGATTTCAGTAAGTGAATTTTTTCTCATTATTGCCATCATCTCCTTTCACACCCCCCATCTTGTTTGGCTGCAAGAAAATAGTGTGAGCGGGCAATATAAGCCTTCTCGGGAAGAAAAC